TTTGGAAAAGCACATGGACTAGCCAGCCTAAAGAGCGTCGCCATTTGATCTGTCGAGGGAGTCGAGTTTCCTGAAAATCATCCAGCTCATCTCAGCACTACTGATTTGATGTCCTCATCAGAGCCGCACAATGCTCTGGAAGCACTCGGGGTCAAACAGAGTCTTCGAAGATCTCCACAGCAGCCACTCTTCTCATTCATAAAGAGGGACCTTGAAGACCAAGGTAATGTCAGGTGAGTGACAAATGTTAGCAGTTGGCAAGCACTGTCCTGACCTCCCCAATTCGAGGAATAATTTCGCAGTTCCTCTGTCTGCCCGGGGCTCATTCAGCTGCGCATCAATCAGTCTGTCCGCAAGTATGTGATTTTCTTCTGATTCCACGCAAAACTGTAGTGGAACGTTGCAGATGTAAGATGAATGCCAGATTGTGCAACAACATCATTTAAACTATTTACGGTGCTTCGTTTTTCTAAACTATCTCATCGAAGAGGAGGAATAATGTCAGTTTTCTCAGTAACTGTCGGTGAGCACCGGGAGCACTTCGATCCGCGGAGTGATAGGGGCAGCTAAGCAGCGCGAAGTGGGAAGGACGGCAGAGGGTACCCATGTCAGACACCGCTGTATATGGTTAACTTAGGATAAAATTGCGCTGTACACGTACACGATCACGGAAGGAGGGACAAGAACTGAGCAGACATACCTTTCACTGCCAGACAATGCTACCATTTCTGACGGAGTTGTAAGCAGCTTTCAGATCAAGGACAGCGGCCATCATTGGTCATCAGAAGAGGAAGTGCACTTGTCGCGAAGTAGAGATGTGATCGGTGCATTTCTAGCCAGATAAAGGCCCAGCTAGATTCTTATGAATGAGACTCCGGATGGTGGATAAACCTGAATCAGATGACACCAAGGAGTACCTTCAAAGCTTTAGCTACGGATACCAAGGTGTAAGTAGACAAGTAAGTGAGTAAGCAAGTAAATGACTGAGTAAGTAGGAAACGAAGGAAGAAAGAAAGGAAAAGAGTGAGTGAATGAGAGAACCCCCGCCAAGTTGTTTCATTGTGCCGGTATTCTGTCTTCATTCCGGATATTTTAGAATAAGGTCGTCAGGTTAATCACGATGTGCATATAACCTTATGTGAAAGGTGTGGGAAGCGAACCGTAGGTACCAGGCGTTCGGCTGGGTCGGAGTAATGGGACTGCACACTGGATTTCCGTTGCCGATGGTGGACTGGTCTCGGCGCACTAGTTGCCTTCATACGATCCTTCTACAGATCAAGCTGACGGGTTCAAACTGCATTTCCCTCTGAGGTTTCTGCTAAAGCACGTTTCCTGTATATTACCCCAGCTTAAGAAGAAAGGTTTGATAGGTTTCCTATAGACGGACAACTTCAATGAGGGAATAATGATCTCCTCTTTCAGCCGCCAGTACCGAGTAGATCGATTCGGTCAAGTTCAATTCGCTGCAGGTATTATACATGGTTCACCACTATTTTGGCTCCCAAACTGTGAGAGGCCATAGTGAACTGTCTAAAATACTGTTCCAGTTACCAGTATCCCCCGGTAGGTATTCTGGTATTCCTTCTTCATTTTTGTTGTCTCACTGAATTTGTCTGGGAACAAGCTACAGTACGGCACAAACATTCCTTCATCCAAGACTGCTGTTTCTTATCCGAACTTCTCTGAAGAAACACTCGTGGAGTCTAACACTGACTCCACTGCCAACGAGATTTTCCACTCGAATGCTTCTCGTTATGTCATTCAAAGTTCCTAAGCAGTTTGGTGTAAAACTTTGAGACTTTAAAACCACCTAAATTTGTTTTCCTACACCATACCCTCAGGTGTGCCCTGAATATACACTGTCGGTCAAACTACTTTCATTATGAAGAAAAACGCTGTGTTTTAACGCTCTACGCGGATGCTTTACTTACATCTACAATTTCATCGAGACAAGAAGGTTGGAGACGGTTTGCAAAGATGGTGTGAAGCTGAGAGCACAACGTGTACAACACGAGAACCAGTATAGTTTTTGTCCTCTATCTTTTGAACTGTTTGCCTATTTTGTCCATCATTTTCACCGACCCCTATTGTCTGGTAGGTGTGACCCGTCATCACCTACATTATCATCGTAATCATCATCTATTTTTACTCCACACCTGGTGTTCGAAGAATGGCCCAGTGTCTTACTTTCTTTCGAATGAATACACACCATTGCGTAATCCGACTTTTCACAAGCCGCAGGAGTTGCTGGCTGAAATCAGTTTGAAGAGTATTAAAAGGTTCAGCACCATGTGGTGTATAATGTGGAGTTTTTTTCATTATAAAGTCAAAACAGCGTAGTGGAGTAGGTTGTTGTAATCCAAAGTTCCGGTTGCCGTGGACGACCTTTCTCAAGGATTTCTATAATCAATCATGTAATGTGGAGTTTTTTTATTATAAAGTCAGAACACAGCGTAGTGAAATAGGTTGTTGTAATCCAAAGTTCCGGTTGCCGTGGACGAGGTAATCCAAAGTTCCGGTTGGCGTGGGCGACCTTTCTCAAATGATTGTAGAAATCCTTGAGAAAGGTCGCCCACGGCAACCGAAACGTCGAATTACAACAACCTATTCCATTACGCTTTATAATTAAAAGAACTATTGTGTTTTTGGTAGCCCGTTTTCATTTTTATAGAAATTCACCACAAGTCATCTTCCAGCGTGGACAACTACAAAACGAATGGCTTCCTGAACAGGATTTGTGAAATTTCAAATTAATTTTAAGGTTTCACGGTTGTTCATCGGTTTGCCATCCAGTTGCGACCAAGTGTCAGCGGACAAACTAACTACCAGCAACTAGCTACCAGCCTTCCCCCAGAAGGCAAATCAGTTCGAGTGAAATTCATTCGATGAAGCTCACCGCTGGGACGATTCCGTTTACCATCCATTTTTACGCATGAACAACGACACTTCCTGCGTGAATGCTTGTATGGAAATATGCTGCAATCCAGTGTCAGGCGTGGACCTACGTGAGAATATTCGGATGCATTGGCCCAAAAACTTTGCAGTTACATTTTCTCAGAGTACAAACCGGCGGTTGAACTGGTTATGCAACATATCACGCAGAATCTCCAACCTCGCACAAAATTAATGAGGCAGATTTCACCCTGGAGGCTGTCGAGACATCACAGCACCCACCTTGACAGTAACCAGTTTCACTTTGTGTTGCAAAGAGCTTTCCAACAAAACACCATTCGAAAACCGGTGTCAAACGTTGTATTACGTCACAATTGCAAACGGAACGGACATCAATATGTCGAAAAGATGGCCTCTATGAACCTGCGGTGCAAGGGCAATATTTTAATAAACTAGTATAATGTAGTCCGCCATTAAGATAACATATTATAATGCTCAACTCAGGGCACACAACCCATGCCACTCCCCCAACCGGCAAACAAACAATCTCGCCTACCCTGTCGGCTTCACTCTCCATCTTTTACTTCACTTGCAATTGCGGCGAACTTTATATGGGACGAACGGACGGAAACCCTGGTATCAGGACCCGGGGGCCGATAAATTGTCGAAGTACATCTCAGTGAATTTCTAGACGTGACCTCGTAACTAGACACTTCGTGGATATCAGTTTCATCTCCTCACTTTTAGTTTGGTGTACCTAGTCCATTACATTAAAGTTCGTTGCATGTTTGTTGATTACTCGCTACAGGTGCTTTGTGCTTTATCAGTCACGTTGCGCCTACTCTGGTTTACTCGAGTAAGCTGAACATTCTGCCAGACCTATGACCACATTTGTTTGTTCTTTTTTTGAATTTCGTATTGACAAAACCGTATGAACTTATCCATTCCCGCAGTGCAAATGTACTTTCTGTACTTTCGCAATAATTTTTCAGCTGCAACACCGTTTTGATGCCTGGCTGCTAGAAAACCCGAAGGAAGTACAAGGCCTGATATATTGCCAGGTTGCTCAGGCCTAGACAGAAGCATTCCAGCTAAAGAGGTTGGGTTCTAAACATGGAACTCCAGACGCCTCAATCACAGTACTACCTCAAAGGACAGAAGTGAAACAGTGCTCCATATTCCGAAACCTATTTCAAAATGATGAGTCTAAATTTACGTCAGTGGAAGTCACAAAACGTTGGTTTGATCGTACAGGAGAGAAAACCTGTGGAGTCGTAATTTGCTGGCGTAGTAGTAATGGCCACATTATATTCTACACCGATGTGATTTTCAGATAATTGCTTTGTTCTCATGGGAAGGATGAGAGAGGACGGGCGAATTTTATCATTTTACACACTACAACAGAATTAATACGATGTTTCAGGTGTGGTAAATCCACATGTAAATGACGATGTGCTCGTGATGTATTGTTATGAATGGTGATCTTATTGATACCTCCTTCTCGAGTAATCGAAATTTTGTCTTTTGCGACCTTGAACTCTAGTCTGCTTGCGGCACGTTTTGGTCACTTTAGAGCATACAACTACAGTAGTCCGGCACTAATCTCTCCTCAAGAGGGACAATTCTCCATTTATGACCTCTGTGCTCCAGTTCCGGGAGATATGAATTGAAAGTGGTATTTGCTGAAAAGCTCTCAACAAATACCATAATAAATGTTCTCGAGGAGTACCTTTCTATACCAACAAAGACAAGGATGCAAAATTAGTGTTTTTGTTCCCCTTCACTGATGCACAAACTAAGCAAACGGTAACATGCAGTGCGCACCAGCCTGTTCCCAAACACGATTTTCCGCCACTAAAACAACCCCAAGAAAATGAGTCTCTCCATACGGAATTTACTGTCTTGAATAGAGCACGGTGAACATACGCGCCATTCGCGACACGTAGACAGACCAAATTTCATTTTGTTAGTCCACCAAGGGTAGGATATCAGACAGTGCACATTCTGACTAAAATCGACCCTAACATTAAAAAATACAACACAGTCGAATGAGTAGCTAAGTAACACATCGGTTCTACTCACAGAGGAATGTCCAACCTTTTGTGCAGGCCTTTTAAAAAATTCACTTGATGCGCCGTCATCACTGACATTACAGTTCAATCGTTTTGGTGTCCACGAATTGCGAACGGCAAGCCTGTCTTTCAATCTATTCTCAGGACTAGTTGTTACCTGGTTGTCACAACATAGCGATAAGTAGCGAGAGATTCTTGTTCAAAAATTGCACGGGGAAAATTAACCGCTCTGACACAAAAGTGCAAGAAGACAGAGTAAATCGAGACATTTTCGTTGTGAAGTGAGGCTAGCAAATATCCAGGAATTGAGAGGCGTCGGGAATTCTGCCTTGGAGGGATTTCGGCCATGGAAAATGAAATTTAGCTATGTGAACTACAGGAATTTTGCAGGAATAATATAAAAACCCTTTCTTATCCCAAACAAGAAGGCCTCCAAGGATAAAAACTTCCGCACTGGTGCGGACTAAAGAGCTTGTTCCTAACGAGTGTTCAAAAGAGCGAAAAGAGGAGCACAATGTCACTATCACGGCTGATGATTACAGCAAATTTACTTGTTATGTCAGAGAAGGTTGACTTTAAGCTAGTTATGTGAGAAATCAGGGCTAGTCGGACACAGGACAGCTAGTTTAAAGAAATATAGGAAACAGCGGCTGTGAGACGACATCTTATTCTTACAGCGAAAACAATCTCAAGGCACACTGTCAGGATGCTGACCGTTGGTGGGGTCCTCGGATCTAGACTTTTGGGTTTCAGCAAGATGTTTTGGTTGAGAAAATGTTTGGATTGCTTACAATGCAGAACGATTTTTTTTCCTGCAGCCCGCACATTCGTCTCTGTTTGGAAAGTTGAAGAAAGACATTTCACTGTGGATATAAACCACATAAGAGTTTTGTAACTTCTGTGACGATACTCCCCACCATCCAAGCAATAGCGTAAGGCATCTACAACTCTTCAAAATCCCCATGGTGAACGCATAAACAAACGCCTGGTAAATACAATCAGTTTACACAGAATGGCAAGTATTTCTGTGCAAATGTCATATAGTAAGGGAAACTGCGACCTTGGTGCTTTAGAGACATCTAGGTGGAGCGCTGCACAATAATCTCCATCCTAATAAAAACTAGTGGTTCTTATCCATATACTAAAGTACAACTGGTGCCAGCATTCACTATGGAGGAAGAGTTTCAAAGTGCGTGTGATGAAGGGAAGACTAAGAGCCGGCTTTGAAGCTGACCTGTACAGGAATTGTATTAAAAGGCTTCCAAATCCGTAGAATTGTATTTCATCATCGTGCGTCGTTCAGAATAGAAGCTATGTTTTCTGAGACTTCCATATGGTATGCGGAATGCACCAGAGGTGCCATCCGCAACTACCCTAATTAGGCTATTTTCCGTAAAATGCAGCTCTTGCTAATGGACCAGGTTACAGATGATTTGGTGATAAACAGACTTACGTCTATCCAAATGATATAGGCTTTGAAGCACAGTTCAGCGTAATCTCATTGGACTCCGACGTCATGGATCGTTTCATATATTGTATGAAGGAGTTGAACCACTGCTAAATAGAGTACAGCGTGCACTATGTAATGGAAATCACGAAAATTCCATATCTTGAGCTGGGATTGATCCATAGGCTTCAAGTGTTTATCCCTTGAATGTGTTGCGAGGGATATAAACTAACACCAAATGCATTTGAAAAGGTGTTTCAGGAATGCTAACTTGCTCCCTCTCCACTTAGTCTTCTGGAAGAAATTTTTGATTTTATTTTCCAATTTCCGTGTCTTTTCCTGAACATCAACGGAGGAAAGTTACAGCAACATGATTCAGAACTCAAGCCACTCAAAAGGAATGATTTTGTGAAGAGTGCAGTCTTCTCACAACAAGGATGCACTCTCTTGTGGATGGTGGTGGATGGAACCGTTGATTGGGGTCAATACAGCGAAAGTCAGGAAATTTATGATTTAGTGTTCTTTCTTCATAATCAAGCGACGGTGCAGGTAAACGTACAGACAATTATTACTGAACGGTCGACTACCACCTCTCATACTGTGCCATTAACTTATGCGGCTACGCTGGAACTGAGCGTCCATAGGAAAGTTCACCGGACTGCGTCTCGATAACGAGAACTGATGTTCCGTTTGTAAATTTTTTTACCTCATTTCAAAGTTTTGAACTAGACTGTTTAACAGATAAACAAGGAGATAATCTATGAGGAACTTAGGAGCAACCACGAATGATCACTGACACAAGCTCACCTGATTACTTTGGATCCCCCGAAAAATGAAGTG